TTTTTTTATCAGTAGGTTATATTAAATCTTATTCTGAATATCTCAGATAATTATTTGCATCATTTTGGTAAGGGACAAGATGGTAGCACTGGAGAACATGAGTGCTAAAATTAATTGGCTAGTAGTTACCTGTGTTAGCTTAAGGGAGTCTCTTTAGGCCTGACTCCATTAGCGAGTGATTTTGAAATCTTTGTAACCTCTAGCAAGTCTCCTGAATTTCTCATGTATATAACAGGGAGCTAGTTTGAACTAGATGAGTAGATTTCAATTATTTTTTTCCTTAATATAAGAAATCATTGTTCTGTTCTCAACCTCTCCCCTCCCCCAAAGTGGTAACTAGCTGAGATGATTCATAAGTAGCTTGATTGTGGTGATTATTTCACAATGTATATGTATATCAAATCATCAAATTATACACCTTAAATATATACAATCATGATTTGCCAAATATACCTCAATAAAATGTTTGGCAGAACAAAAAAAAAAGTCATTGTTCAAAATAAACCTTACATCCCTAAATGTAAACAGATAAAAGTGTAGCTGCCCTGGTTGGGGAGAGAACCTCTTATGGAGGAAACAGAGGCAACTCCCAGGTACCCAAGTGTCCGGAGGCAGAGTTTGAACACCACTGTGGACAATCTCTAAATTTGCTCCCAGGTATAAAATGCTACAGGTGTTTACTACATAAATACATTATACCCAAGGAAAAATCCACACTACTTCTATTTCTTGAATTTTAAACACAAATTTCTTAATCAAAAGTTTATTTGTAATATCAGATAGGATCAAATAGTTTTGTCCACTGACAGGAACATAAGATTTTGTTGTTTAGTTTACGTAAAATACAGTTTGGAATGACAATTTGGAATTTCTTTAAAAAAAAGAAATCTTGTAACCTATCTGTCCAAATATAATTTTTCAAGAAGTAGGGTATTCAGTAGAAATTAATCTGTGAAAGAAAAGGAATTTGGCAGTGGGGTTATCTGATAAATAATTGAACATATTTTTCTTTTTGCACCAAAACTGTGTCCCCTTGTTCACTTCCCTGTGCCCCATACTCCAATTGACCAGGATCCCTCTAATTATTCTGGGAACCTTGACACAACCTCCTTTGTCTCTTTCCGTTCCTATTGCTACTTATGCCCTAGGAATTACATTTTCTTTGCTGATCTTGTTTAGAAGGGAGAAGAGCTTATATAACCAGTGGATTATCACTTTGGGGTTTGCCCTTGGTTAGTTGCTAGCATCCCATCTGGGGATGAGATTTATTTCTCACATAGAAATAATGTTATGAATGTGTACCAGAGACTTTAGAAGGGAGAAGAGCTTATATAACCAGTGGATTATCACTTTGGGGTTTGCCCTTGGTTAGCTGCTAGCATCCCATCTGGGGATGAGATTTATTTCTCACATAGAAATAATGTTATGAATGTGTACCAGAGACTATAGAACTTTTACACTATCTACTCTACTTCATTTACCTTATAAGTGAATGAGACCATGTGTGCTGGTCTGGGAATATATCGACTAATATAAATGGTATTTCTATAGAAAAGTGAGGTTTATCAGGCAACGAATGTATAAATGAATGCAGAACTTTCATAGTTGAGTAGTGGCCCTATTTATTTATTGATCAACAGGTGTATATATTCAGTAATTCTGCATCTATAAGAAAGCACTGACATTTTCTTAACCATTTACAAGTAAATTGGAGTTAGCCTGGGAGGCTGAAAAAGGGAAAATTTTTAGGTCTAAGCCATAGTTTTGTTTTTGTTGTTGTTTTGTTTTCCAGATACAGTAGTAACTGGATGCGATAAAATTGATAGATGGTACTAAGACCACATTAGCATTTGTGAAATGGACAATTGCCTTACATAAATAGCAAGTAAAAAAATCAAGCCAGTCCTTCCTAAAAAATTTATCCTGGGGTGTGCTTGTTTTCCAAAACTACCTCTACTAAATCTCCTGTCAGTCCTGAAACTAGAAGGCAGAAAAGCTTCTAGTGCTACAGCCAACTGCAGTGTAGCCAGAGAAACAGGCAACAAAAATAGAACACCAGGATTGCTGTGCGTGGGTGAGGCAGAAACCACATTATGAGCAAAAGCTTCCAGTATTATTTTAGAACCAATACAGAGTTCTGCACTTCTCTCCTTTCTCTCTTCCAAAAACACATACTACAAAAATAAAATGAAATTAAATGTATGTGCGTTTGCCCTCTTAGAATTATAATGCTTAATTTTTTTTCTTGCCTTCCTTTCTTTGGAAGCGAATCGCCAGTGTAGAAACACGGTAAAGCAAGCTTGGAGGGAGGAAAGAGTTAATTGCTTTTAAGGCCCTGCAATAGAGAATTATGGTTTGAAAGATAGAGGCTGGACAGCTGGGTTTGCTGGGGTATTTTTAAATGCATTAATGCAGGCTCCAATCACTCGGCCATGCTTGACCTATTTTTGGCTCAGGCCGACCATTGTTCTATTTCTGTGCCTGTGGGCCATGCTGTTGTTGATTCATATGCAAATGAATTATCACTAGCTTTAGCCAACTTGAGCAGAGAGACTGAGAAAGGGAGAAGAGAGAGACACACAGATAGGAGAAGGGCACCGGCTGGAGCCACTTGCAGGACTGAGGGTTCTTGCAACGAAACCCTAGTAGTCTGAAGAACTATAAGCCAGGTTTAATTAGTTTCTTTTTCTCGTGGGTAGAGTTAATATTTTTCTACTTATTCTGACAAAGAAATAATCCCGAAGCACATTCCTATTTCCCACCTGCTTTTAGTTTCTGGGATAACCTAAACTGCAGAGAGCCATAGCATCCACTCTGCCCTTTCTGCTTTGCACACAGGTTGGTAACGTGGGAAAAGTATCCAGATCTTTTAAAAAGTGTATGTCCATCTGAGCAGAAAGGAAATCATTGTCGAAGTTGATCCTCTGCTGTTTCTCCTTGGGGAGGAGGGAGGACCAGCGAGGGTAGCTCCTGGGGCCGGTGCGCGGAGCAGTGATGAATCTTTCATGTAGCTGAAGTAAGAGTGATTGGAATATGCTGCAGACAATTTACGAGAGTGACTCCTGTTTTTCCTCAGATGGGGTGGCTGGACGAGAGCAGCTCTTGGCTCAGCAAAGAATGCACAGTATGATCAGCTCAGGTAAGATCATCTTTCGTAACTGATGTTATGTTTGAAAGGGGGCTGGCTTGGGAAATGCAGCTAAGAAAAGCACCTCTCTTAAGAAATTGTTGCTTTTTCGTGTTGATGTTGCTATTCTCTTGGTACGTCTGTAGGGTTTAACTTAGATCCCTTCCATTACTGTTTCTGTGCATATTCAGAGTATGCTTAGGGACGGCTGCTTCTGAATGAAATTGCAAACTATTGCTTCTGATAGATGAGACTGAGATAAGTAAAATGTAGTTGAGGGTGTTTTGCCTTACTATGCAACTAGAAAAAGATTTGTACTGATTGTAAGTGCATTATAATAGGACTTTAAAAATCAGGTAAGTTCACATTGGGGCTTCAGTTTAAATTGCAGCCTCCGTTAGCCTGATGATTTTATATTTACAGTGTGCATACAGAAGCACATCTATTTATAGACCTACTGTCTGAAATGTGTTTGCTGCGGAGTTGTAAAGGTAGTTTTATTCTTTCCACAATGTGGCTTTTTTCTCATCAGCCCAAAATGAAACTATCCGGAATGAAATGAAATTATTATTAGCAGATGCTTATTTTAATTTTCTTCAAAAACATTTGGCAAGTCTAGCATTGTCAGGCAGATGTGACAGCATAGCACACATATAAATGTGTGAAAAGCAGGTGCAGCATTTTAAAGGATAACAGTACCTGATTCCAATTTCCAGTTCCTCTTTGTATGTGCTTGGGCCCTCAGGGATATGTGCTGATGGAAGATGGAGCTTGCCAGCTTTATCAGTTCATATTTGTTAAAAGAGCATACTCTCCAGGCAGTATCACTTACTTGTAATAAATGTTTTTCACATTTATTTCCTGTAGCTAACTCTTCTTTCTGTCCTCTTCTGAATGCTTCAACCTAAATATTAGCTTGAAGTTCTCCCTCAGATCTTCTAAGTTCCCATGTGAGCTTAATCATATTTATTTATCACTACCTAGATTTCCGTGATAAGAATGTAACATAAAGCAGCATTTACTTAGTAGAGCTAGGTGTGAGAGAAATATTCCACAGGTTGGCATGGTGTCTGTTTTGGTGTTGACACATGTTCCCATCTGTGGATCTGTATTTGAAGCAAGTTTTCTTTAAACCTCTGTTAGTTATAATGATTTTAAGGTCCTTCTGTTGACTCAATCTTTTCATGAACACAGAATAAAATACCAATTTTGTACAATTTGGTGATAATACACTTAAGTGTCAGGAATTATATTAATGAATAGTGCCTGCTTGAAAGAACAAATCTACCAGCATTTCAGTACAGTTTGTTATCATTGTGGCTGTAAAACTGGCAAGGTCTCTGGGAGGGGTCAATAGGTATGTCTCTGATCGAACTGGCCACTTAGCATTTTATTTTTAAAATATGGACACACTCTTTGAAAATAACTGTTTTAGATATCTTTTCAGTACCAGATTTATCCTTAGTTCTTGCTTCTGTTACAAGTTTGATATTTCTTTCACATGGCAGGAACGTAGCTGTGGCTTCCCAGTAGCAACTGTTTGCTGACACTAAGGCTGGCTACAGGTGTTAGCAAGCTTTGCTGCTTCTCCACATCCTTGATAATTGCATCCAACTTTATTCCTGTTTCAGCTGAGAATGTCATTTTCCTGACATTAAATGATTTTTATACAAAGCAGCAGATTTTCAAACAGAGAATTGCTTGAGACTGTCCATGCTATTGCCAGTTCTCCAGGAAGCAACATTTAAGCACTAGCTATTAAGTGAAAAGTGATATAGGTTAACATCGGCTCCCAAACCTGTCTAAGTAAGGAAACTCTAAGTTCTGTTTACTTTAAAAATTTCAAATATAGAAACAATTGCATTTTTTCTACCATGTCATGTAATATTTGATTTTGTTTGATATAAGTATAATGTGTCCTCAAATTTAATTCACCTAGTCATTATTGTGTACTTCTGTGACGCTCTGGTTTCTCAAACTTGGAGTAAAATGCACCAGGGAGCATTTTACTAAATATATTGCCTGGATTCCACCCCCAGAGTTTCTGATTTTATTGGTATTGGGAACAGTGTGGATACTGGGGTTTTTTAAATCTCCCTAGCTATTGTAATCTTCAGCAAACTGAGAGCCACTGCGGTGGGAGTAGGGAATGGGTGACGATGCTGGAGAACCATCATCAGTAGGGTTTGTCCTTTGTGTTCATTGCTGAATTAGGGGAGTGTTTGTCTTAATTCTGCTACAGTCTTGTTCAGCTCCCTTTTGGACCAGTGGCCTGGATGTGATTCACAGACTTGTACGTGGATGGAGTCTCTGAATGTGAAAGAGAGAAAAGTTACATGGCAGCAAGGTAGAGTGGTGGAGAGAGCACTGTTCTAGGAGTCAAAAGTTCTTGTTTAGCGTGAGCTCTGCTGGCCAGTTGTGTAACTGGTTTGCTCTTCTTCAAACTGAAGAATAATGACATCCTCCTGCTTACCTTTTGGCATTCTTGTGTCAAGTGTATCAACATGTCTTGGAAGTTTGTACTCACTGTTATTACTATTTTTAGTGAGTGAACCTGGGATCTTGGCTTTTCGATACTGTGCTCTATCTTGCTGAACAAGACAGATTGGTTAGATTGTAGGTCACATGGGAAAAAGACTTTTTGTTTTGATAATCAGTTTTCTTTAGTTATCTTATAAATCAACTATTTCTTTAGTTATGTTGGTCTGATTAGAATTAAGTCCTTTCCTTATGCAAATAGTGACTGTACATCAGGGTAGCATTTGTGCACGCACACGTGTGTGTGTGTACATGTGCTATGAGATGCTTTTTGTTCAGAGCTCTTTATATGCTATTGGATTGCAAAGGTTTTATAGGGTTCTGTGTTTTCCTAATATTGACCCAGCCAGACTAGACATCTTAGGTAAGAACTAGGTTTTATATTGTAGTCTGCTAATGTCTTTTTAGTTAAAATGTTCTATAATATTGAATCTTGGAATTCAGTATGAGTGACACATTTTGCCAAGTACATCTACACTTTTGTGGCTTTTGTGGGCCAGATAAGTGATAACTATGGCAGAAACCGAAGCATATACAAATCTTAACACAGGTCACTCAGCAGAAGCTGGCAGAAATAGGGGTATTCTCCTGTTGCCAGACATGTTGCTTATCACATTGGATAGCAGAGCTGTCCAGACAATATTGGACTTAACACAGGTCACTCAGCAGAAGCTGGCAGAAATAGGGGTATCCTCCTGTTGCCAGACATGTTGCTTATCACATTGGATAGCAGAGCTGTCCAGACAATATTGGAACAATTATTATGAAGGAATTTCCTAGAGTTTCTACAGAATTAATGCAAGATACATTTATAGTAAAGAGAACTCATATTTTCACTGTGTCTTCTTCTTTTAAGGTTATAAAAGGAAAATATTTAAATCTAAATCTTGAATGTATTTTACATAAAATGTATGTTCATCTTTTCTGAGTCTCTTTGTTCCTTGGTGTGTGGCATTGAAATAAAGGGAACATTTTAGATTCACTAGTTGCTTATGTCTACTTGAAAAGCAGAATCTAATTATGTAAATGTAAGTCTGTGAAATGCTCCTGTCATGTCAAGAATCACATCTGGTATTCCCCTAATAACTGTTTTGCCATTCTTTAACTCAGGTTATCTTCGCTTATAAGTCTGTTTATAGTTGATAGGTATCAATCAACAAGCTAGTTGTAAATGGACTTATTGAGAATGGAGATAAGAGTGAGTGTTTTATATTTCTGATGACACAGGGAGCAAAAATACTGTTATATCCATTATGTAAGAAAATGCAATGTAACCTCTCAGAAGACTGAAATAAACCCAAATTCTGAATTAAAAAAAAATATTCTTAATGGTGATTTTGATTTTGAAGATGAGAGATTTGAAAATGTACCACATAATTTCTTACCACTGATAATGAAAGGAACCCAAAGTAGTATGTCAGTAAAATAACACCCCCTCCACCCAGCCATCCCCTACAATATTCAGTGGTAACTAGCAAAGTTGATATAGCCTAATGCAACATACCTCAGAAACGAATAGCCAAGGGAAAAAAAATGGAAGCTGGGGTTCTTGATCAGAACACAGAAACTTGTCTCCTGGGCCTCCTTAGAATTTTACTTTCAAGTTGACAAGTTCCTCAGAATTCTTACGAACATGCCCAAATCTGGAGAGAAGCAAACAGTGGATATCCTCAGCTTTTTTGGTTGTTCTTTTTTTCTGGGAGGAACAATAGAAAGGATTCTGGCAGTGAAACTGGTGATGTGGAAGAAGGTTGAACAAACCTTGTATCTGGAGAAATGAAGGCTTCAGAGCAATGCTCTAAATTGGGAAAATGATCNCTATAATATTGAATCTTGGAATTCAGTATGAGTGACACATTTTGCCAAGTACATCTACACTTTTGTGGCTTTTGTGGGCCAGATAAGTGATAACTATGGCAGAAACCGAAGCATATACAAATATTAACACAGGTCACTCAGCAGAAGCTGGCAGAAATAGGGGTATCCTCCTGTTGCCAGACATGTTGCTTATCACATTGGATAGCAGAGCTGTCCAGACAATATTGGAACAATTATTATGAAGGAATTTCCTAGAGTTTCTACAGAATTAATGCAAGATACATTTATAGTAAAGAGAACTCATATTTTCACTGTGTCTTCTTCTTTTAAGGTTATAAAAGGAAAATATTTAAATCTAAATCTTGAATGTATTTTACATAAAATGTATGTTCATCTTTTCTGAGTCTCTTTGTTCCTTGGTGTGTGGCATTGAAATAAAGGGAACATTTTAGATTCACTAGTTGCTTATGTCTACTTGAAAAGCAGAATCTAATTATGTAAATGTAAGTCTGTGAAATGCTCCTGTCATGTCAAGAATCACATCTGGTATTCCCCTAATAACTGTTTTGCCATTCTTTAACTCAGGTTATCTTCGCTTATAAGTCTGTTTATAGTTGATAGGTATCAATCAACAAGCTAGTTGTAAATGGACTTAT